ACCCAGCCAGGGACCATTCCTCACCCGCCATCCTGTTCTGTTGCCACCAGTCTGAGACCACGGTCTGTTAAACCTGGGTTCCCCCTGGATGTGCTAATAGGAATGAAATCAGCAGGTAAGCCAAGTCCTCGAACCCCCCCGCCCCATCCCCAGGCCTGGCTGCATTGTCCCGCATCAGGGTCAGGTGGCTCGGTGTCCCCAGGGAACGCAGCATTTCTGCCCCACGCTTCCTCCCTGCAGGTCCTTTGGCACTGGTTATTTTGTGGCTGATGAAGTGTAGTGCCCTTCTGCAAGCTTTGCTCAGCTGGAGGAAGAGAGGAAAGCTGTGCCTGGCATAGCTCCGGATCCAGGTGCTCGGAGACCCTGGCAAAAACTCAAGGCCCCTCCTGTCCTCTGAGCATTGAGAGGACCTGGGATCTTGGCAGGAGCAGGGCGCAGAGCAGGAGAAGGTCTGGCTGGGCTTCCCCCAACAGGCAAAGCCCTATAAGTCCTATTTTAGTGTGGGAGCACTAGCATTGACTGAAACACGGGCAAAATCACCATCACTTGGGCTTAGGAGGGGCCAAACCTTCAGCTTGGCCACATGGAGCCCCACATGCTGCGTCCAGGGGATGGTGTCTGTGCTGTGAGTTGGTGAGGACGTGGACGTTGTTCTGTCCCATCTGAGTGGCCAGAAGTAAAGCTCTGGAGATGCCTGGCTCTAGGGGAGGAGAAGAGAGAAGTGATGGGGTGCAGTCTCCCAATCCCTGTTTATGGTACAGAAGCGATGGGTTCCTGCTGTGTTCTGTAAGAGGCTGAGCCCTGCTGTGAGCTGGCTAGAACTGCCCTGAGAGGCAGAGCTTAACACAGCCAAGAGAAACCCCAAGGCTAGGGGAAGTGGAATAAGAACCTTCCCTGGACAAGGTGCCTTGCATCTTTAGGAGGATGAGAAGCAGTTCTGTGCTCCAGGCTGATGGACAGCCCTCCAGAGGGATTTACAAGGAGATCCCAAGGTGTACTTGGAGATACTTCTGGGGTGGGCTGGAGAATCCTGGCATTACCCAGCACGATGCTTCAAGTGACAGTCTCTGGGATGTCAAAACATGGTGCAGCACCTTGTGCTAGGCATGTGCACTAATGGCTAGTGTTGGCATCACCTGGTGACTAGCATTGAGGCTGGGATGGATTTGTGATGTCGGCATGTCAGCCTCTCTTGATGGACCCAGCCTCCTGAAAGGCGTCTGCTGCTGGGAAGCAAAGGATTGTGACTGCAGGGGGATGTGGGAAGGAGAAAAAAAAGGATGCAGGTGAAATTGCATATTTGTCCTGTCATGGACATGGAAGGATGTGGCTTTCTCCTGCTGCACTGTGCTGACTCTTGCTGCTGGTTGCTGATTTTGCTTCCCAGTGCCATGCAAGTCACGGTATGAATCTCCCTCAGGGATGGAGGAGGGAAGCAGCAACCTTCCAGGCACGCAGAACACAGCCTGTGAGTCTCTTGGCGTCCATCCACAGCTGCGGGCATTCACTTGCTTTTCTACCTGCTTTCATGCAGGCCCTATGTGGGGTGCCAGGAGGAGCTGATCTTTGCAAAGAGCTTTTGCTGAGGTTTTGGACCGGAGATTGGTTATGTTATGGCACTGATTTGTGTTGCTGTGAGTGCTCCTTGGAAGCAGGTGTATTGTATCTCTGTTTTGGCCATGGCTAGCATTGTCCTTCCCCTGCACTTCTGGTGGTGGCTTTTGAGCTAGCTGGGTCTTGGGGACTGGCCATTGCTGCCTGTTAATTACAAATCTTACTGGAAATGTAATGAAAGAACAGCCCGTTTCCTGGGGTAGGCAAGGTCAGGCAGTGAGCACAGCAAATGACCTGCTGAGGACAGCTTCCCATCTGCAGGACGATGGGACACAGAGCTTGCCGGACTAGGGTGCCAGATGCACTTGGATGCCTCTGAGCATCCCTTTGGGAATTTGTTCATCTGTCTGCCCCTGCTGTTTCCAGCCTTTAGAGCAGTGCTTGCTGCTGGGTGGGGATGCCTGGTGGGACAAATGGTGGCTTTCATCCAGGTGGCCACTGCATTGAGCCCCTACTCAAGGGCTGCATGGGGATGGCCCTCAGGGATGAGCAGCATTTCCTCCTTGACCTGGAGGCTCCTGGGCCAGCAAACCTCATGGCCTGCCTGTGCCGCAGAAGGTCTGAAGGTGGAAGTTCCCAAGAGCTCCTGCCCACTCTCACCCATGTTGCACTACAAGCTGCTGCCAGAGCTGACTTTCCTCCTTGCCCTCTTCCAGGCATCAAAGCCAAGGTGCTGATGTGTTACGACTGCAGGGGAGCTATGTTGCATCTGCAAATATCTGTGATGCATCACGGGCACATCTGAGCAGGTGAGTGCTGTGCACATGAAAGGACTGCTGTCTTTGCGCTTGAGGAAAGCTGGTGGGAGGCCATCATGACTCAGGGCTATCAGGCTTCTGGTTTCTGTCTTCCCTGCCAGGCATCTCTTATTGGAAGAAAACAATTACAAGCTCTTCTTCTTGTCTGGAAGGCCAGAAAGCGTCCTGTGCTGTGAGTGAAAAGGGCAGGAGGAAGACATGAGACTAGTGTCTAGCTGAAGGCCCAGATGTTACTGGTGATCTGCAGTGTCTTGGAAAGAAAGGCATGAAATGGTTGCTGTAAAGAAACAGAGATCTGTTTGTATGCACAGGGTTTCATACAGGAAGGCATGCAAAAGGGATGTAAAATGTGAGTCAGGTATGAGAGTTCACAGCTTAGCTTAAAGTACCTGTGGTTTAAATGGAAATCGAGGTCATAGCGCTGTTTGAGGTCTCTGAGGTAATACATTACCTTTGGGTTTGGGAGGTTGGAAGAGGCTAAGCCTCAGTGCTCCCTTCTCTGCCTGTGTGACCCTGCAGGTAGGCAGTACCCTCCTGCCCCTCTCCTGGAAAGCATCCGAGTCATTCTAGTCCTGCTTCTGCTTTTCTTCCCCTCAGAGCCACCGTGGAAACTGAAGAGCTGGAGAGGACGGCACAGAGGTTCAGAGGCACACCGTGATGGTGGGAGCCATTCCACGGCAGCCATGCCGCTTCTGGGGGGTGCCTGGCTGGCAGGTGTCTTCAGCTAGTTGTGCCAACGACTGTCCGCTGCGGGACAGGGAAGTTAATCTGGAGCAAAGTGGAGTTCTGCTGCAGGGGGGTGAGTGTTAGGGGGCAGCCAGGACAGGCTGCAGTGTGTCAGGTTACACTGAGGTTGTGAGGGACCTTCTGTGGGTCATCTGGTCCAACCCCTCTTCTCAAGGTGCACCTAGAACCTCTGCCCAGGACCATGTCCAGACATCTTTTGAGTATCTCCAAGGGTGGAGAATCCAGCCTCTCTAGATTACCTGTTCCGGTGCTCAGTCACCCATTTCCTGTTGTTCCGACAGAACTTGCTACATTCCAGGCTGGGCAACACTGAAACGAGCCTGGCTCCATCTTCCTTGCACCCTCTCTTCAGGTATTTATATACATTGATGAGATGCCCCTGAGCTTGTCTCCAGGCTGAACAGTCCCATCTCCCCTAGCCTTTCCTCATAAAAGAAATGCTCCAATCCCTTAATTATCTTAGTGGCCCTTTGATGCACCCTCTGAGGTGTGCTGGGCAAAGGGAAAGGGTCACCTTACTTGATCTGCTGGCAGTACTTTGCCTAATGCAGTCCAGGACACTGTTGTCCATCTTCGTGGCTAGGGTGCAGTGCTGGCTCGTGGTCAGCTTGTGTCCGCTAGGACCTCCAGGGCATTTTCTGCAAAGCTGCTTTCCAGCTAGTTGGCCCCCAGTGCATCCGGGTGCATAGTTATACCTTTTGCCACTCCTTTTCAACAAAATCCCTGCACTTAACTACCCTGGCCTGGTGCTTTCCCATCCCCATCACAGTGAGGTCAAAATGCTACACCCAACCTCGCTCTCCAGATAGCCTGACCCACTTGGAGAACCAATTTCCATTTTGCGCACCTGACCCTAAGCCTTTTCTCCGCAATAGCAGGCAGAGCTGCCAGGCAGAGAAGGTTTGTCGGGCTCTGGAGCTCCTCTGTCTGTCAATGACTTTTCCTGCTTCTCCTCAGCCCTTGCAGCCATTTCAGTATTTATCATGCTAGAAAAACTTGTGGCAGGGATTCTCATAGCTCTCAAACTGGGCTGAAAATTAAAAGTGAGGCACTATGCAGCATGGAGGGGCACAGGCCCTCAGGGCAGGCAGGAATGGTTGCATGGTGCAGGAGGCCACAATGGTCTCTGCAGCTCTGCAGGTCCCTCTGGGACCACACAGCTGCTGATGCAGGAGGTGGAGGTTCCTGGTCCAAGCTGGCAGAGATAACAGTGATGTTAGGTCAGGTCCTCACCTTGGGGCTGGCAGCCTCATTTCAATGTGTGCAGCCAGGACAGGTCGTCTTGGCAAGTGCTGGGAGATCGTGTTGCTGTACCCCAGTGGGGTGATTACAGGCCTGAGCCCCTGGGACTGGTCTGACCTGCCTGACTCCTGTGCTCCAGAACAGTGCAAGCACATCACATCCCTGGTGGAGGGCAGGCCCCCTTCTCTCCACTTGTCCAGGCTTGTCCTCAGTAGCTTCCAGCCTGGCTGGAGACTCTTCTCTGTGCCGAGGCCAGGAAGGAAGAGCTCATCCTGCAGTGGGTGATGCCTCAGGGTTCCCCAGAGAGCCACACCAGCCTGATTCCTCTTCCCTTCCTTGGAAAGGGAGGTTTCAGTGGGGTGGTACAAGGAGCTGCCCATTTGAATGATTCTATGATTCTAAAGCCTGGATGAGGATGGGAATCCTGGTGTGACATCTGTCCTTCTACTCTCTTTTTCCAGATGCTGTGCTGCAGTGCACCCTGTAGCAGAGGACTCACCCGGACATCCTGAGCGAGACAGTGCAGCTCCCATCCCCTGTCCTCACACCCTGACCTGTGGCACTTTACAGTCCCCTTCCTGCTTCTGCATGGGCTGTTCTGACTCCAGCTCCGCTCGGAGTCCAGGCAAGTGAGGCTCCATGCGGCACATCCACGCAGAGACGTCCCTGCCCCCGGAGCACAGCACGGACCCCAGCCTGTCCCAGCCCAGTGGAGAGGCGCCCTTGGAACCTGCCTCGCAGCACTGTACCCACCACAGCATCCTCATGGGCTACAACGAGACAAAGATCAAGCTCCAGAAGGTTTACGAGGTCTCCATCTTCTCCCATCTCTCCAGCTCCTCTGAGACCACAGAGCAGCGGGCAAGCAGCAGGCCAGCCATCAAGAAGAGTTACCCCGAGCAGCGAACTCTGGAGCGGGGGCGAGATCCCAAACGAACTCACTGGGGTAGTGGGGTATTGGACAGCAAGCGTGATGGGGGCCCTGGGCAGGCTTCCCTGGATGATGATGATACCTTCGAGGATGGTCTGCTGGTAGAGGAGCTGTCCCTGTGTGGCTCTGCCCAGCACTTCTCCCACAGCGGGCTGCGGGTGGTGGAGCACCGATGTGAGGGCAGCCCTAGCCACAGTCCCAAGGCCAGCAGAGAGGACAAGTTGCAAGATGTCTCCTCCGCCTGGCCCCAGCACATTGCTTGCAGTACTTTGCACACAAGAGACAGTTGTCCTGTCTCATCTGGGGATCAGCCCACAGCCTGTGGGGATAATGGAGAGCAGGCGAGTGGCCACAACTTAATTCAACTTGATTTGCACAATATTGCACAAACTGCCCAGCTGGACTCTGGTGGGAAGAGAGAGAAGCCAGGGAGCAGCACAGCTCACAGCAGCAGAGCTAGCAGAGAAGAGGAATGGCCAGTGGTGGCCAATGGGTGTAAGGAGCTTCCAGCTACGCAAACAGCTCTCACCCTTGAGCTCAGCAACCTGAGCTCCCTGGAGAAGACACCTGCCGGGAGCAGCCAGCCCAGCAGCCGCAGCTGCCTGGCCAGAAGGAAGCTGCTGCCTGCTGGCGAGATTGTGGGTGACTCCTGCTCTGAGGACGAGAGCCTGTCCCCACCAGTAAGGAAGAGGAGGCTCCAGCTCTGCCCTGCAGTGCCCACAGCCTGCCGTAGCACTGATGCCAAGGGGGCTCCTTTCTGGAATCACCTGCTTCCCACAGCCAAGGTGAGCATCCATCGCTGGGAGAAGCAGGGAATAGCCTGGGGATGCCCAGGTCTTAGGGCTGTCCTCATGAGCAGTGTGGTGCATCCTGGCACCGTGCACTGTGCTGTCACCGTGACACAGCCCTGGTGTGAGCAGGGTGGCAGCAGACAGCTAGGCCTGGGACACATGGTCTGTAGGTTGTCGCCAGCTCTTGCCACCTTGTAGTCACTGGATCCTTTGCTTGCAACCAGGTCTTCAGCCTGGAGAGCCTTGCTCAGACAGGACACAATCTCTCCATGACAGTGAAAGCTGGACATGTGGCTGGGGCCACACTCAGTATCCAACAGCTTCACGTTAATCTAGACTTAACAGCAGGTTTGGAAAGGGCGGCCTGCCTCTGCCCGCCTGTCAAGAAGGAAGGCAGAGGTGTGGGATGTCTTGGGGCCCTGGCCATGATGTCCATCAAGGCAAGGGTTTAGTGGCAGCGGGCAGGGCTGGACACATTCTAGACAGGAGCGGAAGCCCCAGTGCTGTGTGCAGAGATGTCACTGGCTTTTCTGCAGGTCTGGGTGCTGTGCTGTGTCCTCAGTGTACCACAAACTCCCAGAAATGTGGCAGACTCCAGAGGTTTGCAACCACCCTGGCATCTTGAGCTGCCTGCAATTCCTCCATGCCTACCAAACCCTCCTGACCAGCTCCTTGCCTTCATTGTGTCTTACCAGCTGAGGCTTCAACAGGCTTGTGCCAGAGCTGGCATGCTCCCCCGCCTTCCTTGGGTCATCCCGTGGTACACGGACCTGCAGGGACTGGCAGCAGAGCTACCCTGGCTTCTTGCCACTTAGAGCCTGGACACAGCGTCTGTGGGGCACAGTTCCATCCCTGCCTACATGCTCTTTTTGGTGACTGTCCCCCAGCCCAGCTGCACCGAGCACTGCCCTCGCAGAGTGAAGCCCTCCAGCAGCTTCCCTGGGTTTTCCCGTCCAGTCATGCCAGCTCCATCATCCCTTTGTGTTGTGCTGCCCTTTGTGTGGCTTCCAGAAAGGAAAACCCCTGAAAAGGGGACATCTTTAAAAGGAGGCTGCAGTGTGGCTCTGGCTTTAACCCCTGACCCTATAGCTGTAGGAGCCTGGCTGTGGGCAGGAGTGGGCTGCATGCCTCTCTGCCTGGCAGCACTACTGAGGACTTTGCATGAATCACCAGGGGACGGGACTTTTACCAGACTGGTCGGGGAGCTTCATCGTACGTGTTACTTACTGTTCCCTGGGAGGTGCCAGGGGGTGTTGACGTATGGCTCGCTCTGGGGGTGTCTTTTCACTGGGACTGGTCCTGAGATCTGCTTTTGAAGGTTGAACTTGTCCCCTGCACCCTTAGCTTGGGTACCAATGCCCTCATCCCCAGCAGAACTGCTTTCAGCTTTGGGCAGCCCCACTTGCCCACCAGACACCCCAGCCCTTGTGCTGCCCTGCTGGCTGCCCCTGCAGAGGCAGCTGAAGGCTCACTATGGGTGGGAGCCTGTCTGATGTGGTGGGACCCTTGTGGGGCCATGGGGCAGGGTGAGGGATGATGGCACCTCCCAGAGGTGCACAGTCCCGCGTTACTGCCTTAATGTGGCTCTTGATTTTGTGTCCCTTCCAGAGCTCGGTGGACTGCAGTGTGGTCGGGAGGAGACTGAAGAGCGGGCTGCGCCTCAAACTGTGAGTGTCCCAGCAGCCCTGTGGGATGGGATGGATATGGAGGCTCAGGGTGCCTGGCCACCGTGGCACCCTGCAGCGGGTTGAGGTTGGGTCTAATCCTCTTCCCTGCCCTGCCTCAGGCATCTCCCCTCCACAGGACCCCAGCCTGTGGGGCAGTTGAGTGGTTTCTTCAGCCCCTGGAGGTTAGGAAAGTGTGTTCAGCCTCTGCAAAAGAAAGGGATGGGAGGACCTAGCTGGGGATTCACATCCCCAGGGACATGGACAACTCAGGGATGCATGCTCTCCAGTCTGACACCAATCTCCTCTCCCCTCTCAAAGGCGACATCTCCGGAGCAGCCTCCAGAGGGGCACAAAGTCCTCCGCAACACCCTGGGCCACCACTACTGTCAGTCGTGCTCTGCTGGGCAACTTTGAGGTAACAGTACCCACCTCCCAGGGAGGGAGGCGGGTTTCTTAGGCCTCCAGACTGGGCTGGTGATGGGCATGAGAGGCTAAACCTGATGAGAGCCCTGGTGTGGGGCTGGGCTGATTGTCCCCAAGGGTCTGGCATGCAGTGGCCATGTCGCACAGCCATCACTCACCAGCAGGGTAGTTCAGCCAGCAGATCACCGGGTGATGTGCCAGGACCCTGCTCAGATAGCTGCTGTGGGGCTGAGCTGAGACACTCCTGCTGCTTCTGTGTTAGATGGCTGGTTTTAGGTCAGCAGTCCAGGATGGGTCTGTCTCAGAGCAAGGAGCCAGAGCACCTCACATCTGGTGTCTGGACACGTGGCGGCAAGCAGACACGTGGTTGCAGCGGAGAAGTGGGTGATCTCACCTCCAGTTCCGAGGCGAGGGGCAGAACTGGTTTTTGAAGGTCCCTAATGCTTCCCTTCTCTCTCAGGAGTCAATCCTGAAAGGGCGCTTTGCACCATCGGGGAGGATCGAGGGGTTCACGGCAGAGATCGGTGCCAGTGGTTCCTACTGCCCCCAGCATGCCACCCTGCCTGTTGACGTCACCTACTTTGACATCTCCGAACACAGTGTGCCCTCGCCTTTCCTGGTACGCAGATGTGGGAGGGCTGGGACCTGGGGGAGGTGAGTGAGGGCTGTACTCAGGCACAACAAATCCTGGGGGCTGCCTCTCTCTGGAGAGCATGGCTCAAGCAACCACCTACCTGAGGAGACCACTAGCTGTGCCAGGAGCAATGTTTAACCCAAAAAGTAAAGAGGGAAAGAAGAGGGAACCCTTGCAGGAATGTAAACAGGCAGGCTGCTGCCCAAGACATCTCATGGCTGTTGTTTCACCATCACCGCTGTGTTGCTGCTCATTTGTCCCTCGGTCTAGAGAGGGACTGAGCTGGGCATCTTCTTGCCACCTTGTGCCAGGCGTGCCTTGCGAGAGGGGCTCTCAGGTCCATGCTGTGTCTCAGCTGGGCTCTCTGTGGGCTTTCTCCCTCTCTCACATGCCATTTCTTTTGCCCCAGGGAGTGATTAACTTGGAGACCTTGGGAAAGAAGGGTTATAGTGTCCCCAAAGCTGGAACCATCCAAGTGGTGAGTTGTTCCCTGGCCTCCTGCAGCGCTGTAGGGAGGGAATGGGTGGGCTCCAGTTGCCCCCAAGGGTGGTTATGTTCCATTATGTTGTTTGGCAGGGCAGCAGCCAGAAAGCTTGTGCAGAGGGAGTTACACAGCCACCAAGGTAGTACAGCAGAGGGGGAGCAAACGGGGACCCTGGGTTGGTGGCAGGGAGACAAGATGATGGGAGATGCAGGGGAGAGTTGGTGAGGAGGGATGGGGTCTCAGCAAGAGGGTGTGTATGTCCAGCAGGGATAGGGTGTGATGGGATGGGAGCACAGGAGTGGAGAGGAGTCAAAGGACTGACCTGTGGGTCTCAGGCTGCGCCCTCTGGGGCTGGTGTCAGGCTTTCTAGATCCTCGGGCCTTCTGGTGCTGCCCCCACATGCCCCTACGGATGCATTCCTGTGTGCTTCCCAGTCTCACCCCCTGCCCCTCTGCCCCCAGACCTTATTTAACCCCAACAAGACTGTGGTGAAGATGTTCTTGGTGACGTACGACTTCCAGGACATGCCGGCCAACCACATGACCTTCCTACGCCACCGCATCTTCCTGGTGCCTGTCGGGGAGAAGGAAGGGGCCAGTGTGGCCACCAGCCCACCGCATAGGGTTCTCTGCTACCTGATGCACCTAAGGTATGGCATTCTGGGAGGGATGGACACCGGTCCCAGGATCACCCATGGGCTCCTCTCCCATGCGTCTCTGCCTCCCTTGAGCCTTCAGGCCAGAACGGGGAAGTGGAAGCCTGACCCCGTCTACCCTGGGGAGAAGCAGTGACCAGCTGCTTCTTTTGGGAGGTCGGAGCTGATGCCCTGCGCAAGGGCAGCAGTCTCTGTGCCTCTGAAGGCAGCCAGAGCATTGCCACCTTGACCAGGTGCTCAGATGGGTGTGGGGGTTGTGCACTCCACTGAGGTTGTCCTGCCTTTGCCTGGCAGCCTAAGGTCCCTCCACCCTGCTCTTGCCTCCACTCAGGTTTCACAGCTCCAAGTCGGGGAAGATCTACCTTAACGATGACATCCGGCTGCTTTTCTCCCGCAAGTCGATCGAGGTCGACTCAGGGATCCCCTATGAACTGAAATCTTTCACGGAGATGCCGAAGAACCCCTGCTACTCGCCCCGGGCCTGACCTTCTTCCCCCGGGGCCACCAGGGAGCCTTCAGCTCAGCACTTTGGGGATAGATAAGTAAAGGGCCAGCAAGCAAACACTGTCCTGAAGTATCACCTCCCCTGTGTGCCCCTGTCCTCCTGAGCAGCACGGACACCATGCCCGTGCCCTGCAGCAGGACTGGGTACGCTGAGGGGGCTTCACCAGGAGCGACATGGTCTGGGGAGCAGCCCTGGCACTCCAGGGCTGTGCCCAAGCCTTCTGCTGGCACTGCTCCCAGCTTAGAGACTTGGCTGTAGCTGGAGTTGGGTAGTGAAGAGTTGGGCCAAGAGCTCCAGGTGAGCCTGCCCACACTGGTTCCACAGTTGGGAGCAGAAACTGCAGTAGAGTTTGTATTTATTAGTATTTATTGTTGCTGGGAGCACAGAGGAGGCTTGTGCAGAGGATTGGAGGTGCTGTGCTGTTCTTTCCCACATCTTGTCAGTGCTGGATGAGGCTCCTGGCAGCACGGGGATGCGTGGGTTGCGGAAGGCTGTGGGGACTGTGAGGGGGACTGAGGATGGGGGACACGTTGGCGTATGGAAGGGAGGGTGACCTGCCTCTCAAGTGCAGTTCCTGGCTGCATTAAAAGCCCTGGGAGAGGCCAAGACCTCCTGGGCACCAGCTCTGTGGAGCCAGCTCTGCTTCCGCTTGAGGAGGCCCAGACTTGTCCTCTGACCCTTCAGGACAAGCCACTCCTGAAGAAGCCTGTATCTGGCAGGGAAGTGGCCATAGCCACGGATCCTGGGGCTAAGAGACATGGATGGGGACCTGGGGCTTTTTGCAGGAGCACGGGGCCAGCCCTTGGAGCCCACATAGATCTGAGGCAAGGTGGAGACTGCCAAAAACTCAGAGCCTTGCACCATCTGTGTGTATCGGGTGAATCCCGTTCAGGAGACAGCTTTGGGCAGTGTGATCAGGTGCTGGAGGATGGGCGGGAGCCCTAGCTTAGTCCCTGGGAAGGAGGAAAGCCAGCGGAGGACATCAAACAGGAGCTGGGCTGGACTTCACAAGGGAGTTTGGGGGTGGCCTGGAGTAGTGCTTGTCCCTGCTGCAGCCAGCCACACCCTGAGCGAGTTAAAGAGGTGAGAGGAGCAGGGAAAAAAAGGACTTGTATGTACCCTGTCTGCATCCCCCTGCGGCCTGGCGCCTCTGGGAGGCTGCTGGTGCCAGCTGAGCCTGCGGGGGAGGACGAGGGGAACAGGTCCCCTCCACGACCAGGTGCCAGCCTCGCCGGGCCGCTCCTGGGGCTGGGGGCTCCCCGGGCTGAACATCGTT